GGGTCCAAAATTTAACCCATTTTCATGTTCGATTTTTCCGTAATTCCCATGGATCTCATATTGGTAACCCAAAACTGCACTTCTAGATTCCATAACTTTTGTTATTGGATTCCGATTTAGACGTGGGATACCTCTATGAATTTGTGGAGGAATTCTCTAATAATCTACATTTAATTTATCTTTTAAACGAGGGTCCAAAATTTAACCCATTTTCATGTTCGATTTTTCCGTAATTCCCATGGATCTCAGATTGGTAACCCAAAACTGCACTTCTAGATTCCAAACTTTTGTTATTGGATTCCGATTTAGACGTGGGATACCTCTATGAATTTGTGTAGCAATTCTCTAAAATCTACATTTCAATTTTCTTTTAAACGAGGGTCCAAAATTTAACCCATTTTCATGTTCGATTTTTCCGTAATTCCCATGGATCTCAGATTGGTAACCCAAAACTGCACTTCTAGATTCCATAACTTTTGGTATCGGATTCCGATTTAGACGTGGGATACCTCTATGAATTTGTGGAGGAATTCTCTAATAATCTACATTTCAATTTATCTTTTAAACGAGGGTCCAAAATTTAACCCATTTTCATGTTCGATTTTTCCGTAATTCCCATGGATCTCAGTTGGAAACCCAAAACTGCACTTCTAGATTCCATAACTTTGTTTTTGGATTCCGATTTAGACGTGGGATACCTCTATGAATTTGTGGAGAATTCTCTAATAATCTACATTTCAATTTTCTTTTAAACGAGGGTCCAAAATTTAACCCATTTTCATGTTCGATTTTTCTGTAAGTCCCATGGGTCTCAGATTGGTAACCCAAAACTGCACTTCTAGATTCCATAACTTCTGTTTTGGATTCCGATTTAGACGTGGGATACCTCTATGAATTTGTGGAGGAATTCTCTAATAATCTACATTTCAATTTATCTTTTAAACGAGGGTCCAAAATTTAACCCTTTTTAATGTTCGATTTTTCCGTAATTCCCATGGATCTCAGATTGGAACCCAAAACTGCACTTCTAGATTCCATAACTTTGTTTTGGATTCCGATTTAGACGTGGGATACCTCTATGAATTTGTGGAGGAATTCTCTAATAATCTACATTTAATTTATCTTTTAAACGAGGGTCCAAAATTTAACCCATTTTCATGTTCGATTTTTCCGTAATTCCCATGGATCTTAGAATGGAACCCAAAACTGCACTTCTAGATCCATAACTTTTGTTATTGATTCCGATTTAGACGTGGGATACCTCTATGAATTTGTGGAGGAATTCTCTAATAATCTACATTTCCATTTTTTTTTAAACGAGGGTCCAAAATTAACCCATTTTATGTTCGATTTTACCGTAATTCCCATGGATCTCAGATTGGTAACCCAAAACTGCACTTCTAGATTCCATAACTTTTGTTATTGGATCCGATTTAGACGTGGGATACCTCTATGAATTTGTGGAGGAATCCTCTAATATTCTACATTTCAATTTATCTTTTAAACGAGGGTCCAAAATTTAACCCATTTTCATGTTCGATTTTTCCATAATTCCCATGGATCTCAGATTGGTAACCCAAAACTGCACTTCTAGATTCCTTAACTTTTGTTTTGGATTCCGATTTGGACGTGGGATACCTCTATGAATTTGTGGAGGAATTCTGTAATAATCTACATTTCAATTTATCTTTTAAACGAGGGTCCAAAATTTAACCCATTTTCATGTTCGATCTTTCCGTAATGTAATGGATCTCAGATTGGTAACCCAAACTGCACTTCTAGATTCCATAACTTTTGTTATTGGAACCGATTTTGACGTGGGATACCTCTTGAATTTGTGGAGGAATTCTCTAATAAACTGCATTGCAATTTATCTTTTAAACGAGGGTCCAAAATTAACCCATTTTCATGTTCGATTTTTCCGTAATTCCCATGGATCTCAGATTGGTAACCCAAAACTGCACTTTAGTTTCCATAACTTTTGTTAATGGATTCCGATTTAGTCGTGGGATACCTCTATGAATTTGTGGAGGAATTCTGTAATAATCTACATTTCAATTATCTTTTAAACGAGGGTCCAAAATTTAACCCATTTTCATGTTCGATCTTTCCGTAATTCCCATGGATCTCAGATTGGTAACCCAAAACTGCACTTTAGACTCCATAACTTTTGTTATTGGAACCCGATGAGATACGTCCTTGAATTTGTGGAGGAATTCTCTTATGTTCTACTATACCATTTATCTTATAAACGAGGGTCAAAAATGTTATCTATTTTCATGTTCGATTTTTCCGTAATTCCAATGTCTTTCAGAATGGAAGCCGAAAACTGCACTTAGAAGCACTGGCAATAATTGGCCTACACAAAAGCAAGCAAACTTACCAAATTAATTGGATCCTCCAGTGGTTCATACTGAATAAAATCGGCGACAAACTTGGCAATTTCCTCAACACTCGATATGAGTTGCATGTAAATAAACGCCGTTGGTCTGATGGTGGTGCAAACAAATTTCTGTAATACGGTTAAGAGAGGCAATTTACCAAAACATTAGCATGTAACAAAGAATATGGGGAGACTTTACCTGTACTTTGCATTCATTGGGCAAAGCCAAGACCATCGCTCGTCTCTTTGGGTAACTTAGAACCAATTGCTTCCGGAAATTCTCGGCATAAAGGAGAAGCAATCGCTCTTTGGGCGATAAGGTATAATATGAGGGGGGATAACACTGCGGACTGTTTACAACTCCTCGATTGTCTCAGGAAAAGACAAATCGATCTTCCCGATATTCAGCGCAGCTTCTCCCTCGGACAAACTAAATTCACTAGACTTCATTTCCTCCATTTCCGCCTCGTACTCCCCCTCCATTTCATCATCAAAATCGGACTCCGAAACTTGTGAGCGCCTCAATTCGTCGATTTCTTTCAATTTGGCACTATGACGACTCGGGTCGATGTTGCTGACCACCTTCTTGTACTTCTGAAATATTACTTTCGGCATTTTGGCGTGGTAACAGTTGCCGGCTTTTCAATAATAAATAAACAAGAACGTCGTTTCTATAACTACGGTGTTTGTAGAGAAATATATTTTTAAAAACGCCTAGTTGTGACAGAAATTAAATGGAGTGTTGCTGGGGAAAAAAGGTATAAATTGATATAATGAATAATATTTTTATAAAAATGTAAAACAATTAAAAGCTTTAAAGTTTTAATAAATGTAATGCAAATTGTTCCGATCTGGTAGCAACTGTGAAGTTTTTAAATTACCAACTAAGTTTTTCATGGTTTGTGTCTGTGGAAAATTCTTATAAGCGTGTTTTATTAGTTTCCATTTCCGGTTGGCGTCTTAGCTATCTTCCACTTTAGCAGCGGCACCTAGCGGTACTTTAAATAACTAGAAAAAAAAACACTGCTGTCAGACCGGAAAAAAGAGAAAGACGTGTTGTGCTACCAGATCGGAGAAATATTACTCATATCCGTGGAAGAGGAAGAACGCTGGCGCCTTAATTAAAAATGTTGAGTTTTTTAGCTTTATAAATATGACAGGACAGAGAAGAAATGCAATTTGCAGGCCCTTGCGGGCTGATTCGAGGCATTGCAAATTGTAAGCTTATCCGACTCATTAGAGGCTTTTGGCAGGACCATTAAATGGCAAACTTTATAAGTCTGCGATTTTTGCCATGGCCTTGATCAAAGGTTTGATTTATGGGCGTATGATTCAGATCAGTAGCCAAGTCTAGCCATTATAACGCCGTATAAAATTCACTCCACCATTTGGTGGCACTCAGGTTTATTATGTATCCCTATGCCGGGTAATTTAATGACGTATTGACTTTGAAATTTGTTAAAAGACTAATGGGTATCTAATAATCGAGAACTCCTTCTGGTTTTCTTTATTGAGTCATAATTATGTGATACCTAAATCAATAAAAAAAATAAAATCAATTAAATCCGTATGAAATTGTAACTTAAAACTAAAAATGTATATTAATAAAATTAATTCAGTGTTAGCTATTAATATTTTGTCGCTTTCAGAAGGTCTTAAGATTTTTAAGTTTTTGACAGCTTTTAAGCTTAGAAAAGTGTGTTGTTATATTTAATATAATTCTATACGTTCACTTAAAATCTTAAGCTAAAATACAGTTAATATTTTTTTTGAGTATTATTTGTCATTCAAAAACATTCTATTTTAATTATTTGTGTTACATAATTAGGCGTCGGACATTCGACACTCAAAGCCTGTCATTCGCAGATGGCAGTGGTGGCACATTTTTTGAGGACCAACCCCCTTGTCTGCATGCACCTCAAATTGCATTTGCATTATTTATATTGCATCAATAAAACCCGCATTCAGGAATAATTAGCGAAAAACTTGTCGAGCAGCGGAGAGACCAGCGGATTGAGATCGGCGCAGTTGATCCGTTTATGGCTGGCGCTAGGATTTATTTGTACTTCCTTTCGCATTTGAAAGCGAGCGTCTACCTGGTGCATCCGTACATTCATGAAACCATTTGGCGCTTTTAAGCGACTCAATTACGCACATTTTGATTCCCACATTCGTCAGCAGTCGCCTGCAGTCGTTGGGTGTCGCCTATATTGGTCCCTTTCCCGCTCGTCCTGCGGCAGGAAGGACTCTCTACCTGGCCGGCGTCTGAGGCAAGATGCGTAAGCACTAATTTTTGTATGCACTCAGTTTGCCGTTTAATTGCCGCGGCTCGCGCTAAGTGTTCCCTAGAAAAACAAAGAGCATCGCGGCGTTCAATCAGCACAGCACATGTCGTCCTGTCTTGACTCCTTGCTCCTTGTAGTCCTTGCTCAGGCGCAGGCGCCCCGGATGTCTCGAGTGTCAAGCGCCTCTACTTTGCAGCCTTTGTCTGATTATCGCAGCCACGCAACTCTGATGTGCGGTTATGTCAATTAACGCGGATCAGCCGCTAAAAGGATCTGGGTATATAAGAGGCAGCTCCTCGGGCTGAGGACATCACATTCAACTCACCCACCGAACGTAGCACATCGATCCTCAAAATGCAGTTGGGAAAAGCTATCATTCTGCTGCTGCTCACCATCCAGCAAAGCTGCCTGGCTTTGTACATCAAGAACTGGAGAAGAATCCTCAAAGACTGGACCCAAGACGACTGGGGAGTCTTTAAGAACACACTCGGACTAAGCCAAGAAAAAGGTAAATTTCTTAAAAAAATGAAAACATTTTAAACTTTATAACTTTAAAATCTTTTCTCTCTTTAGTTGAACTATTAAAGTCGCAAAAGGATCAACAGGGCACAAGGAGCTGCTGAACCGCTTTATTTTGGAGAACCCCAAAGCTTTGCCCAAGGCCAAGAACAACCCGACCAATTTCTGGCCCTCTACAGATCCATTCTCAAGAAACTCACCGCCTCCAAACGCATGCTGAAAACCTCTCTCAACTTTGAGCTGGCCGACAAACCCCAAAAGGAACTGAAAAGGCCACGCAGGAAAATCGCCGTCAAGATGGTTTCCGATATGCCATCCTGGAAAATCGAGAGCCTGCTGAACTCTTTCTATCTCAAGCACGGAATCCCAAGGAACGCCGAGGAGCAGGACTATCCCGACTTGGATATGGTCAGGGATACTGATTACGACGACTCTGATAATTTCTACGACGACGAAGGCGACGTGGGTCTAGCCGCCAAAACACGACAAAATACCGAATATGGATCGTTTCAGGATCTGATAATGCAGGCCAAGATGAACGAGTGGGAGCGAGAGAGCGAGGAAACCAAATTGCACAGCCCCGACAGCGATGACTATATTTAAATCCTCAAAATATATCCTAGTAATTGGATAGAGGGCTGTGCAATAAGGTTCATATGCTGGCATTGGACTTATCTTTAGTTTAAAGTAGTTAATAATGCCAGAAACGCGCTTTAATTCAAACAATATCAAACCACAATTTGTTTTATATTTATTAAAATAGCATAACTTTAGTGTTTTTTTAAAATGAAAATAATAAATAAAGTAACCAAGAAGTTAAGATATGAAATTATACAAAAATGGTTTATTATTATGGATATTTTGGGTCTACGAATTCGGAGTCCTTCATAATACGGAGCATATGCGCTTTTAAGCTTTTAATTTATCCATATCTGCGCATGTCCTCTCTGTTAGACAAGCTTTTTATGAGGGAAATGTTAAATACGTTTTGATATTCGCATCTTAAATATTTAAATCCCATTGTTTTAAAAATGGATTAATAAATATAACTCAATTTTTAATGTTCTATATTTTCATTAAAATATCTCTTTCTTGTGATGAATTTGCAATATACTATAGGTTTACTATTATGTAAAACAGCTGATTCCTACGTTTCGTTCTCTCCTTCAATGGATGCTTCTCTCTGGCAGCATGACAACAAATATTTCTATAATAAGCGGACATATGGTTTCACAATGGTTTATATCTTTCCCCACCAACATAAACACGTGCTTCAGAAGAGCGCACTCATGCGCCGTGTGGTACCGTAAATTCTTAGAAGATATAAAAGCCGTGCTCATCTGAACCCACAATTAGTCTGTTGCTGTTCCTTCTCGGTAATAAATAAAAATCCTATACTAAAGAAAACATTACATTACAATTCCAGTTTACGTAGTTTACAAGGCAATTTTGTAGAGCTCTTAGACCAATATTTACTTCCTCAGTCTTAACTGCCGACCCAAATAATCTCTTTAATGTGATTTTGATGCACAAACCACTTGTTGCATTTTATTTTCACATATATCTTTTGATATAAATGCTTTGTCAGCATCAAGGATCTTAAAGAAAAATGTTAAATTTCTAAACAAAAATAAATTCCTACCGCAGTGTGCTGAAATCGATATATTTAATACGAGTATGCAAAATTTTAGAATGCACGTCACGTAGTAAGACTTATAGGTATCAGCTTCGCCAGCTTTTGACGCCATTGGCATCATTTATGCACGTACTCTGTTTGCCAAAGCTGCAAAGTTTTGTACGGCAAAAAGTCTGTCGCAGCCTTCCATCAAAGTGAACATAAATAACTATGGGTCAAAGATTTTGTTCCCAGTTTCAGCTATGTTAAAGCACACAAGAAAGTTTTTAAGTATACATTTTAGTTTTATTTTCGCTTTAACAATAATATAAATTATAATCATAACTCTATACACGGTTGATAAATTAAAATACATAATACAAATCAAATAAATAAAACGTGAACGTGAATTATCTTACAATTTAAGAGGAATTTACAATTGCCTTTGAATTCTGGAGTATATGTTCAGTATTTCTCTTATCCGATGCTCAAGATAATGCTAAACAATTTGGTATTTAGACTTATCTGATATCCAGGAAGATACAGTTTGTTGTACACTTTGTTTTTGCAGTGTGATTCGTAATGGCAGTATAACCTTCTATATTCTCTTAATGAGCCAAGACTGGAATGGGATATCCCAAAGTCTTTTGGAGGTAATAAAGCTGATGGGGGTTCAGGTTCAGTGCATAAGAAGGGCGATCCTACAACTTTTCGCCACTAAGACTAACGATATTATAATAGTTGTGATCGGGAAAACGTTCCAGTTCGATGTAATCCATTTCCGTGTGCAGCAATTTGTCGAGCATTTGGATTATTTCCGCGAAAAGAGGACGCTCCTGAGGATCGTGTGACCAGCAGTAGTACATTATATTGTAGAGCTCACGGCGACAGTGCTCCGGCTTCTCCAAACGATATCCATCCCTTACCTGTGACACAAATATTTTATTAATATATACAAATCCATATCAAATATACAAACCTTCCGCATAACATCTGCGGCTGATATTCCCGGGTAAGGCGTAGATCCCAGAGTCACAATTTCCCACATCAATATACCAAAGCTCCAGATATCGGATTTTACGGAGAAGATATTGTCGTAAAGTGACTCGGTAGCCATCCATCTGGAAAAACATATATTATTTTTTAATATTTCTGACTAAAGGGGGTTCTATAAATAAATCCCACCTTATTGGCAGCTTGCCCTCGCTCTTCCTTTCATAAATCTTAGATGTAATTACATCTCTTGCGAATCCAAAGTCAGCCACTTTGCATGTGTGATCGTCGGTTATAAGGATATTTCGAGCAGCCAGGTCCCGATGAATAATCTGGAAAATAACCATTTATAAAATAGATAATACCATATTTAAGAAATTTTTTTGTGATTAGCATACCCCTCGAGATGTCAGTAGTCCATGCCCTTAGCTACTTGGTACATAAAGGAAGTTAAGTCGCAGGAAGTCAGAACATTTGACTTGCCGTGGGTATTTCCATAGTGTCTATAAAGAACAATAAGATAAGTAAAACAAAATGTTTGGAATTCAACTCTTATAAAGTTTATAAATGTTGCCTACCTTTCGGCGCGTGAGCTTCTCAAATAGGTTTGCAATTTCCCCCGGTTTACGTACTCCAGAATCACAAAAGTGGGATCCTTATCCGTGCAGCAACCCAACAAACGAACAACATTGATATGTGGCTCCAAAGATTTCATTACCTTAAAAAACAATAATTTGGTCAATAAATGTCATGCTTAAGCTGTTTTTATTATTTACGAGTGAGATTGTCTAATTAATTTAAGTGCTTCCCCTAATTTGTATCTCAAGAAACTCGGTTGTAATTTATTACTCTATCAGATTTCCTTCAGCAGCCCCAATTCATTGCAGTTAATAACTTGGTCCTTCCCTAATCCGCCCACTCCAATTTAAAACCAAACTTTGAGCAACCCAGGCACCATCTCGAGAAGCAACAGAGACCGGTAATTTTCCAGGTCTCTAACGCCTCCACAATGGCAAAATGAAATGGGGAAAACTTGAGGGATGAGTCTGCAACCTAGCCGAGGGCCATTCATAATTTTTCATTGTTCTGAAAATTAAAGTGCAATTATTTTCGTTTCTGGGGGGCAATGGTAATCCGCAGAACATGATATACTGCCGCCACACAATGCTGCCGTTGCAGGACGACCGAAACCAAATGCGACTTTAATGATGAAGGACGCGACCCACACGGCGGCAACCCTAGAGTGGCTCCTTAGATCCAGATGCCTTTTCAGACTCACAGACCATAGTACAGAGTCAGAGTCAGAGTCAGAGTCAGATTCTGATTACAGGGGGCAAGGCCAGGCGAATAGGTCTCGAACTCCGAAAGTTCCAGTGCGCAGGTCGAGAGTTGGGGGCTTCAGAGATTCAGAGATATATATACGATAGTTGCCCTCCAGGCGAGAGGATGCTGTGGTTTGTCATTGCTTTTTTTTCATTTGGTTTTTTGTTGGCAGGAACAGCAACAGGAATCAGTTTGTTTCAAGGCGTCGGAGCGCACAGTTCGGATTGTATTTGGCATCCCGGAGAGGTGGTTTTTTCTCGTATTTTTGCAAGGCTGCGGGACGTTCCGACCAGTTCCTCGTGTTTACAGCCCGCAACTGCTGTCAAAACAGTTCCTGGAGTGCCATGTGGTGTATTGTGTGTGTGTGTGCTTTGTGCTTTGAATAAATGCTCCTCAGTGCTCCCCCCAAATGCTGAACTCATTAGCTAGCCATCGACTTTTCTACCAACTATCCGGCAAAAGCATAGGTAACCATAATGCATCCAAGTATAGTATGTAAATGCTAATCGATACCAGCTCTTGTGTCACTATCATTACGGGATTACCTTGGTTGGGGGGGCCTGCTTGCTGTGAAATATCCATGGGGTCCTTGGGCCGAATAAATACATTGTCACTTCGATTGTCATGGCAACAACACACTCCTCTGATTGCCTCCTCGCCAGTATGCAAATGGCTGCAAGTGTTGAGGCCATTAAAGGACCCTACATAAATGCGTTCCGAACAAAGGACTACAGTACAAATTTATTGATTCGCCCACGGAACGAATATATACATATATATAATATTTTTAGCCCTCTGATTACGGACAATTGTGCTCAGCGCAATTTGATTTACACAACAACTCCGCTTTTGAGCCCTGAAATGTATGTGTTTACATCGCACTTTTTAAGGGAACCCAGCCGACTGCATTTTTCGGAGTTTGCATATGTGTGAAAAGTCCACAAAAGATTCAGCCCATTAAATATGCTCGTCTGACACCGGGATACTTACAAGGGCATAAATTAATAATTTTGTCGCAGTATTTTTGGCGAACATAAATATGCAATACGTCCCGACAATATTGGAATTGGCATTTAACCTACATCGTGGCATTATTCAAATTGCATTTCACTTTAAGTTTAATTCAGGCAATAACTTTCTAATACGATTACCGTGTCCTTTGAAGTTCAAAGTGCACAAAAAACAAAGCTAATTAGCCAACAATAAGTACAATAAACTAGGGACAACAAAATAAAAGAAAAGAAAGGAAAAGAAAAGTGGAAAAAGGCAACATCAAACTTTAAATTAGAAAACTCCCCAATGGGGGACTTTTTGACAATTGCTAATGACGAAGACGTTTACAGTGTTCACTCCAAAGATGGTCAAGAATTCAGGAAAAAGTAGGGATACAATAAGGTAACTTTCCACCACTTAGGCCAAATTATTAGCAAAGAGGAGCAGACTTTTTGGAGTTTTCCTAAATACACCTGCAATTGCCAACTAGAAGAACGTACTCCAACATTTTTGAAACTTCCTGGAGAGACACATAAGTAGACTCCTTTACGTTTTCATTAAAAAGGCAAACATTAAATCCAAACTCAAGGGGAATCCTGGCGAAGGAGCAGCAGCAGCAGGACCTTCGCCATGAAGCAGGAAAGAAATTCTTTCAAAACTTTTCAGCATCGTTAATTTTCAATTTACAAAACTTTTTCATCTAACCAGAAAAACCAACTCACAAGATTTGCCCAGCAGCCCTCCCAGTTTTCAGTTTTCAGTTTTCAGTCGTCGAGTTAGCGGGTCTGTCAGAAGGTTTTTTTTAGGGGGACGGGAAAGCAAACCGATTGAATGAAAAGTGACAGAGGAAAAGGCAGCCGAGATACTTGGCAAAGTTTGGATGTAACGATTTTGTCGGTATTTTGCATACCCTTTACGGATGACTTAAAAAATTGTAAATGCTAATTCGCAAGAATTGTGTGATTTCCCAATCGGCTTACCTCCAATTCGGATAAGAGGTCCTTGCGATCCACTTCGGTGGCGCTTTCCTTAAGTGTCTTCACAGCCACTGTTGTAATGCCCTCGGTGTCTGTGAATAAAATATTGATATTAATGAATTTATATTCATTCCAATGATATTTATCTAATAAGAGCTTTAAGGACACACTCAAAACTTAGGCATATTTACTCTTCTCATATTCATAGCATTCAATTTGGACTCTGGCTATTTTCCTGCCTTTATATAAATCCAGAAATCACTTGCCTTTCGTTTTGTATGTCCATTCTACGTGCTCATAAAAAAGAGCTCTCAATGGTGAGCTCTGGAATGTGGTATATCGAGTGGGTGGAGGTTGGATATCCTCCATCCTCCACATGCACAATTTTGCACCACCTGAGCACTTGAATATGGGGCAACAACTGCCGGATTGCATGAGCCAGTAGCTTTGTGGAACTCCGCTGATTGAATGCGCAATCTGCTCCATTTTTAATTCCTCTTGGCATCATGTCGAAATTGATGAAATTACTTTGTTGGAAATTATGGTTTTTCTGGGTTTAAAGCCCTTACATTTTAGATTTTTTAAGATAAATAGGTCATACAAATATAAACCAAGGTAAAATATAAAAAATCCCACCTTTAAGATTTTTTAAATGAAAATAAATTAATGTAATTTATATTGTTGTAATTTTGTGTGATATGTATCATAAAGTATGTAATTCTCATTAGTATTTTATTGCTAATCTTGATGAATGAACTTTTAATCTAATCTATCTATTGGTTTCAAAGACAGTGTCCAAGGGCTATGAGTTAACTTTCTTTGGCAAACCCCCTATTCAATTGAAATTCCCCTCACTTAATTAAAACTTACCATTTATGTTGGTGGCCTCGCAGCGCCAAACTTGTCCGAAGGCTCCTTCGCCCAATATATTGAAGAACTTCAATCGGTACCTGGGGAATTCCCAGCGGTCGCCGTTGGCCTCACCGGCGAAACCATTTTCCGCTGGGCCGGAACTTCCTGCTCCGCCTGCCACGCAGCCAGGACCCAAGTTGGATCCCGGCTCACCTGTCCCAGGACTGGCCACTCCCGCGGAGGACTCGCCACCGTTTGTGACACCTGTTGACAACTGCGATGTTGCCTTTGAGCGACAGCATTGTTAATTTCCACATCGATGATGGTGTTGCAGTGTCCAAGTAAACGGAAATGCAGTCGATGTTGATATTTGTGTCGGGTTTTCAGGTTTCAGGAATAAAAGATAAAATACATTGATTAGTTGTGATCCAGTTCTGCTTGTCATTACGTTTAATGGTGAGGGGCATGAAATCCAGGAGAAAGTTGGATTGACAGACTAACATGTTTTGTTACTACTAAATTAAATAAATAATAACAATAATTTTTAATTAAGCTAAATTGAAAGATATTTCCTGTTATTTAAAAAACTGCTACCCCTAATAAATTACCTAATTTATTCAACGTCCATAACATAGTACGCAATTCCGAATTCAAAATAAACCCGCCTGTCAGCACCATAGGATGTCAGAATTTTACGCGCCGATTGGTTGTATGAATGTTGATGACGCGAGAGCCTGCTGAAGTTTTGGCATTCGCTGTCAATAAATGGGAATCGAGTGAAAGGACATTCCCGGCAGTCAGGACCTAAGCTCGCATGCAGCTGCACTGAGCTACTTTTTCCTGTCAATTACACTGCCGCTGTGCTGTGGCCACTGCGGGTGACAGGACCAAAGGACGAAGGACCAAGGACGAGGGACGAGGGACGAGGGAGCCCTGCTCTGCGGAGGCGTTGAGTGAGCCAACTGAGGTTGAAATCTCTGCTCGAGTAGCTGTCGATTAGGGACTCCGGGCTCTAAGCCGCAATCACCCCCGAAAGGGCCAAAATCGATCGATATTTGCATAAGCTTTTGTGCATCGCTCACTAATTTTATGCAATCATTTCAAAGGACCTTCTGTGAAATATGAATTACGATGGGAATGCTCTGGCTTCAATTCCTGGCAAGCGAGCCGGAAAAATTTAGATGCTCTATGGAGATATTTCTAGCAAAAAGGAAAAAATTTAAGTAACATGATTATAAGGATTCTCTCAAAATTAGTATGATTGTCTTCTACTACTGAATAATTACTTTTAAAGGCTAAAATCCTCCATACTAGTTCTTTCCTTTATCTAAGATTAAATAAGAATATGATTACAACTAGTAATTGCAACTATTATTAGGAAAATCCCAAATCCCTTAGTTAGCCCTTCATTTATCCTGGATAATCTAAGAATTTGTTTATAATAAAGGAATAAATCTTAAGTTTTCAAAGTCAGATTCCTTAAAATAATCGGAATTGCATATTATTAAAGTCAAAATAATAAAATTCCCATGTTGACCCTTTCAATTATGAGGGATAATAACAAAGTGAATGTAGAAAATTAATACAATTTTTTTTGTCCAATTCTCCAATAAGAAAATCCCAGAGATATGTATCACCATAGATGTAGAGGGTACACCCTACTCAATCTACCCCATTTGACACAAATACCACTGGGAGATTAGTGGATAAAGAGGGGTTCCTTAAGATTAGTTTCATTCCACTCACAATGCCCAGCTGCTGATCCCGCTCCCAGGGAACATAGCGATTGGCGAAGGCCACGGGTCCCTGCCACTGCTGCATGACCATCGAGTTGCGGCTGTCGTCGGTCAGCGTGCTGCTCAGCTGGCTCTGGTTGGACTTCTTGGCCAGCTCCTCCTTCTCCTTGGACTTCTTGAGGTCCTGCTGATGGCGCACAGTCGTCGGCGGCATAAGTACGCCAGCAGCACGGCGATGGCGGCAAAAAATCCACCTACAGTGACCACAATCGGAATTGTGCCGGACTTGAGTGAGAAGACGGTGGCGATGGGACTGGTGTTATTATTATGGCTGGCACTCGGTGTCGTCTCCGTGGGGATTCCCTCGACCCTCGTCGAATTATTGCCAGTTATCGGCGTCAGTTTGGTGCGACTCTTTGGAGTGGTGGAGCTGGTCCTGACGGCCGTTGTGGGTGTCACCCCATCATCCTTCGTTGGCTCCGTCTCCTCGGAACTTTCCCCTCGCTCTGGTCCCGGAATATTCGGCGGTGGCGGTGGGTAGAAGTTCCCAAATGGCTGCTGACCGAATATATTGTTCTGGGGCACCGGTGGATAGCCACCTGGCCGGCTGTTTGGTAGGCCATTCCGGATGGACTGGACACCGGGCAGCTGGTCGAAACGCGGCAGAAACTGCGATACCACGTTCGAAATCGAGGTCTGCGGTCGGTAGCCAGAGCTGTTCTCCCTCTCACCCAAAATATTGATGAAAACCTCATTTTTCGCCGTATATAAACCATCCGTGACAGTTATATAGATGAGAAAATTCTGACCGGCCTAGAAAAGAAGCGGAATTCATTGCAATATAAAAGATACAATACAAAAAAGATATATGTATTCTTTTAACTTACCCTTCCCGCCAAACTTTCGTTGAGAGTGACAACTCCCGTTTCCCTATCGATTTGAAAGGGGATTTTCTCCGGTGGACTAGGGCCATTTCCACCTCCAGGTGGCAGGCTAAACGAGGTTCGATTCCAAATATCAGATCATCGCCATCCGGATCCTCCGCCCGCACTCTATCTATTATCTGACCGACTTTCTCAGTCTCCGAAATTCGCCAGTTGCGCTCGCGAACATATAGAATCGGAGGTGCATTTTGATCGTGGGCCTCAGCTGCAAGTTTAAGCACATAAATTGAGAATTAATTGTTTAAAATGCAGTTTTATAACATGTCCATTAACAACAGGTTATTGTACATAAGACCGATTCTCTGATGCTACAGTACCGGTTTACAAAATGTTATACATCGATTCGTTGAAATAACTACATACATTCATTATATTTGACTAAACATTGTATAAAAAGGTTCTCAAAGTTTTTATAAAGCTTTGTATAAACATTTTTTTAAATATATGTAATATAATATGTTTTATTATCATGATGTTTACAAGGAGGAACCAGGCCAAAACTTTGAAAACAACTTATAGATAATATCACACGTAAAGTAACAATTATAGATAATGAAATTGAGGTTCCCACTTGTGACCTAATATTTATATTACTTAGTTCCCTGTTCTTTTACTCCCCCGACAAACTCCAAAACAATAACGTGATATCATTTAAAGATGGCGTGTGTGTTTGCTCAGACATTAACTTGTTTTGTAATCTCAGAGCAACCGCTTATTAAATCCAGCCAATGGCGACAAAACCCATGACGACAGAGCGATTAATTGGTTAAGGCAGCGACTTTGCCTGCATTTCTATGGGCCAACAGTTGGCAGCCAAGTTCATTCAGATATTCCGAGTGCCAGCTATTGACCCGGATGTCTCCCACTTGGGAGCCCCGCTTTGAACGAGTGCCAAAGGCAGACAAAGGCTACCACTCTTTTTTTTGGGAGGAGGCCAGCAGTTGCAACATCTGGGGAAAAATAGTTTTTCTAGTGAATAACGAATAATGAATATCTCAATATCGGTTCATTGTCCACCGAGAATGTCCGTGAAATATTCGCATATTCAGTTGATTTCTTTGCGCTCCATAAGTCAACCATAAGCATCATTCAATGGACCTAAGCGACGTGACGTGATAACCGGTTGGGTTGTTTAGCTGTTTGCCTGTTTGCACTTGTACATATCTTCTGCTTCTGCTGGCGCTCGACCTTCAGATACAAATGCGCACACATGTAACGAATACGTATACGTGATAAATGGCTATATGGGCTATATGTCTGTGGCCCGGAGAACGGCTAAAGGAGAGTCTTTTCTTATTTTCAATATTTTTTTTTCCTTTTTTTCCTTATATTTTGGTAAGAGCGTGTCTGACGGCGTGGCTTAAGTGAGCAGAATGTTTTTGCTCTGCGGATTGCGTGGCCAAACAGGTCTGAGGTCTTGGATGGAACACGCTCTCAGGCGGATTTAACTTTGTCCGCGTGTAAGCCCATCCACATCCAGATATACACGACTGCGATATATTACGATGCTCGGCGAAATGTTCCGTTTCACTTAAATATTGCACAATATGCTGATGAGACATGTGCGTGAGTGCGAATTCCGGCCTGACATTAATAAGGCGAATTATAAATGATCTAAATTTGTGATGAAGTATCGTACGAAAAGGTTTCACACGGAATTAGCACTGATAAGCCCATTGAAAATACAAGGTTTTTCTACCATATTTGTATTACATTTTGCATCACCTCCAAAGAAATGTAATTGGCCTTATATATGGGTATAATTATATATAGTGATTCTCAATGGATTGATTTTTAAATTCTCATTAAAAAAGGTCAACAATGTTTCCCACGAAAATATTTGATTAATACGATAGCGAATTTATTAACACCACTGCAATTTAATCTCGTCAGATAACCATTTGAATTGGGGGTTTATTTCAGAAGACAATAATATCAATCTATTTCCGGGCCATTAGCTAAAATAAGAGTTCAAACACCGGGAATTAAACGCCTTCGATGAAATGGCATCTACCAAGCTGATGAAACATTCACGGTCAAGGCTGAATGTACTGGAGCCCGGTTCCATTTATTTTTCTCGCCCACGGGGACAAATGGACCATTGTGGGACTTCAAGAGCGATTCGCATTGTTTTGGTTTTAGGTACCAATTACGCATCGGTGTTGTGGTCATTAACATGTTTTGTCATCAAGATAGGCGGAGACTATTGACCTGGTACCCTCATATCTACCTAATGATATTTTCTAGATGAATCTTATAGATAAGCAAGATAGCCATCCTTAAGGGCTCATTGTTTATTATTGATTATAATATGGGATGGCTTTTACACACTCACCTTCTTGTGAAATCAGGGAAACCGCTGTGGCTGTCACCACAAAAAGCGTTAACAGCAAGCTTCTCCTCCGCCAGGAAAGTAATTGTTTTCTGCAGTGTATTATCCGATTTTCGTGGTTGTGATGGTGATAAACCATTGCGCAATCAACCGCCTAAACGGCAGCCTGCCAGATGTCCGAGGACTGAGACAAGGTGATGAAACTTTAATTAAAAACGGCGGTTCACAGTGGTAAAATAAAAACGAATGACATATGTATGGTTGCGTGGGAGTTCACGATGTCCGTATCCTGTAGATTCCATCGTAGGAATGTGTTTTATTAAATTAACCAAGAGGAGACAGGCCACCTTTCTTTATTTTCCTATATCCCGGAAATATTAAAAACACAATGCCATTCCCAACTGGTTGCAGTGAACCAGGATATGATTGTTGAAATATTTGAGTGAAGGGCACACATCACACGCTCAACTAAAAGAAAATATAACTTAAGACGCTGCGCGTCATGAAGCGGGTCGGCGATTTCTCTTTTTGACGTATACACCATCGGGTGCATGGCGCAATAGCAAAACAAACTGGGCAACCGAGCACAGCCCCAATATTTGAACAGCTGCGGTCAACATTATAGGAGTGCTAACTCGCCTTTACAATATTATTACAAAATATATTGTTACCGAAGGACACCACATTAATTGGTGTTTCATAATGTTTTAAATGGTTTATAGATTACTTTTTAATAAGATTTAAATATTCATCACTAAAGAGAGTTTTACACCTTTTAAAATATATAATGCTTTAGAAAAGAATTTTATTTTATATTTATGACTTAGTTTTGTGTCTCATTACTCTATTATTTTGCCCGCAATTGTTTATGTACACTCTCGCATAGTTTAAGATCGCACCGAAAGAGATAGATAGATAAAAGCGAAAGAGAGAGGGAATGGGTACGCATAGCATTATCTGGTCTTTTGTGTATTTAAATAATTTATAAGGACGCTGGGAAGCCAACGAAATCTCCACCTTAAGGTGTGTTTGCACTTTATAAGGAGATCGCGAAACACTAGCTGATAATTGAATTATATAAACATCGGCCTTAAGCCAGCGAAAGAGGCCACTCAAATATGCTAATGATCAATTTCACACGCATCTTTTTTTTTGGTAACAGTGAGTCACCTCTTTGCACATTATTAAAATTTGATTTTCATTTCCAGCTATTATTACTTTTATTTTAGGGTGGGATTTTGCGCTGAATTTCACATATAAGATTGTTCACAAAGCCACTGAAACTGGTATCCATAAACTTTCACGGGCTGCGTATGGGGTGATCCCAAAGCGGGACTTGAACGGCGATGCGTTTAGCCACTCGGCAGACTGACAACTGAAGCTATAGACTGTGTCCCAGCCCAGTGCCAAAGACTTCGCCCCATACGATCCCCCGAGTTATCCGCTCTCTGTCTCTCGAAAACGAAAAACTTGTTTAGTTGCCGTAGGAAACGAACTTGAACTTGCTCTCTTGTGGATCGTATTTTTTAAAAGCCTCTCTCGTCGCTCTCCGAAAGAATTATGTTTGGGATCCACAGACTAATATTAATTTAGTAATCAGTAGCAAGTGCTGGTTCATTCTGTATTTGAAGTCAAATAAGACACAGGCGCCTATTGATAAGAATAATTAACGTTTTAACGAGTTAGGTGTTTATTCAATTATAAGTAAAACGAAATCTATTGATATAAGCGTTTTTTTAAATGTTGCAACCTTTCTGATTAGTGACAAACATTAGTAAGTATTTTGAACACCATTTCTATAGCAATTCCAATCAACATAAGTGCTTTTATAATGGCTATGCCTATGCTATAAAAAACAGGAATTATACTATTTCCTTTAAATATGTTAGCCATTAAATCCAGGTCTAATTACATTGTACATGTTACAAAGTATTTATTTCAAGCTCACATCGCTTTTGCTTTGGGATTTTCCCCATTTTCGCAGAAACAATGGAGCTTTGTGCACAAACCCATTTATTAATCAAAGCTGTTATCTGTTTTACGACTATCCAATATCAGCGGTCGATTGCAGTAGCAGCGTCGCCAATGACAACGCCGAGGAAGTTCCAAAACAAGTCAACAAAGCTTTTCCACGACAGCTTATTTACCTAAGTGCCAGCATACTTATTTATTTACCCAAATGCATCGTAAACTTGAATGCGTCACGCGGATTTTCCCCGCGGACCAGTGCTATCCAAAAAAGTATAAGACCTCTCTCAAGACCCATTCACAAGTTTTTGCCATTTTGAAACCTGCATTCTGCGAAAAGTATAAACAAAACAAAACCAGGTAAGCTGAGCTCATTTGTTCAGTCTATTGCTGACCGGCAGAGCAGTATGTCATAATCCGGCAAACATAATATTTGATATGTATTTGCCTATTAAAGGACAATTAAGCAGACATTTAACCTATCAACATTATAGCAAAGGTATGAGTTTTAAAATTGACATACATTTTGCATAATTATTCAAAGATTAACGACATTTGGCTTGAATGAATCACTAAATATTCACGCGAAAAGCTGAATGTTTGTATGCACTATTGTTTTTACACATATTAACCCCCATAAAAACTGGGTTCAACTAAGTTGCCTCTCATTCAAATGAATTTGAATGCCATAGAAATAGAAATATAAATTATGCTATAAAAATCATATACCTTAATATAAAATAATACCCTATTGACTGAGCTCATAGCCAATTGATAAGCTCACACATGTTTCTACAACGAATCGATAAGAAAATTGAGTGGCACTGATAAGACTCTAGGTCAAACACGAATTCTATAAAGAAAACTAAGAGGCGTCAGTTGTGTCGCGTCTCTCTGGCTGAAAACTCATACGTTTGCTAATTAAAAGCTCTCTCAACCCACAAATATATTATACGTCCATTTACCCCATAAACAATATATAAATTCGGGCGCATTTTGTGCTCGTTTAGTGCTTATGAAATTGTAAATAAATACTATCTGTGTTTGAGACTGCAACAGGTTCCATTGAGTAAATCAAACCTAGAGATTATAGGGGCTTACTTTAAGTTTAATATATTCGTATACCTTAAACTATGCGGTTGAATATCAATTGTGAGTAAAAGGTAAACCCCCATTTTAATCCAACGAATCCAACAGTCTGGTCGAGATAGCTCTTGAGTCTTCTGGGGCTACAAGTCGGCCATAAATTATAGTAGGTGTTAGCCAACAATGCACAGTTCAGGCCCAGCGTCACCGCATCGAATGCAGAAGTTTTTTATTTCGGTTTTTGCCGGACAACTTCCACAGCACCGACAACCGACTCCACACATTGGTTTTGGCCGCGCCACATAAATGGGCCAGAATTCGGCATTTTTGCCAACGGTGCAATTTACTTGCACCAGGCATACAAAAAGCCTTTATGTCTGTACTTGTGCCAAAAACTTTGGGTGTGGGAATATGTACATTTATGCTCATCCGTAGGCCCAGCATTTTGTGTGTGTGTTCTTGTCCGTGGATTCAAAACCATGGCCTCTATAGGGCTGTGGCGCATCCTAGTTGAGCCCGCTTGCTCCTGGAAATGGCACGCGAAATAAAAACAAATTACCCAATCGAAAGTTTGGTCTTTAAATCATACATAATGCCTTTGTAAGTTGATACTAAATTTAAATTAAAGTATACCTATTTATATTTTCAGGAGTTACGAATACTTGTTTCGGATATAGATTAAGTTACGCAGGTCAGGATGGTTCAGATACTGATACATCGTCCCAACTGCAGTCCTCTAGTGGTGTTCATGCTACTACTAATCGACCACCGACTAATTGTGGACTCAAGTGTTCCAGTACTGCAAAATCCCTCAGATGAATACACAAAATATGTGCCGATCGAGGAAATGAAATTGCCAGAGGATCAAGAACTGGTGGTTCGACTGCCCTCAAACTCACTGCTCAAATACACATCCTACAAGGATGTGTCCATCTTACATTTTGATGTTCCACCCGATTCTCGTACAGCTTACTTACATTCAAAGCGTTTGAGGATCCCAAAAGTGCCTTTCGTTAGTATAATAAAAAATAAATGCTAAACATTTTAAGCAACTATTATTTTCCAGAAAGGAAATGTAAGCCCAAAGATGTCACGCTGCATCTGAAGGCGAGCAGTTACCCAGTTATAAGTCCAGAAAATATAACTTTTCCAAAGAACTTCTTTACCACGGAACAGAGGTAATTGGAATATGGGATGTTTGATTATAAATATATTTCAATTTAATTCCTTTCAGATTCAAGATCTATGATCTGCAGTTTTTATCTGACGAGCAACAGCAGCGAATTACTATAGATGGTCCTCATATAGGCAACTGGTTTGCGGTGGCATTTGTAGCTGGTCAGATCCCAATAATGACCGCATTGAACAACAAGGTAAAGTAACTTTAAGGTCATAACTTTAACTAAAAAAACTACGAATATTATAAAATATGCAAATATTTATTGACACCCCTGCATGATAAAAACAAAATACGACAAAAGGTTGAAATGTTTTAGCTATTCCTTTGATATTTGCCAAATATGACTTTTTTACCCCAGAGATAAAAACATTTTGAATATGCAAAAACACCGATTGGGATTATTTTGGCTTTGTGCTTAGGCCCATGAATATTTATGAATTTAATTTTTGTTTGCAGGACTCTCAGCCTCATGTGACACACTGTTGTCCGCCGAGATGTCCGTGTCCCGATTCCGTCCGATTATCATAAACAATGGTCAGGAGCATCAGGACAATCTGACTAGTATTGTTTTGCCCGAGCTTATTGAAGCCAATGGAACCAATATCAGGGAAGGACTCAACACATCCAGAGCCCTGCGCTCCGTTCCGCCCAAGCAGCAGAAACAGAAGCCAGCATCTGTAGTCAAATCCCAACCCTTGGATGAGGGGGAATCCAGCCGAGCTGCTCAATTTCAAAACATTACGGAAAACCACAACAGCACACCGACCGCAAACAATGAAATCATTTACAGATTCTATGTGCCAGACGATATAGGCGATGCTACGGCCCGGATAATATTCGACCAAGTGTGCGACGACTGTCCGGCGGTGGGCTTCCATGTGCGGGCCAATGGATACCCGCTGGGCGGTACGGATCAGAGTCACGGTCACGGCACCATCATCCGGCCAAACCAGACCGCGGAAATCACAATTCCGTTCGGCGTGCAGCCAAATGCATGGCACTATGCCCTGTTGACCTTTGCCAACGGGGCGGATGAATCGGAAATGGGCACTGATACAAATCACAGTCTATCATATGCCCTGCAAATTGATTATATAACGGAAGAGCCGGCTAGCCTGTTGCAAAAACAGAAGAGTGTGATGAACACTACCAACAGTTCCACTCCGAATCCCTGGGAACCAACCAAGTTCCGTCAAATGAACTTTTACTCCTGCTGCGGCAAACGTACCGCGAATTCTTTATGTTCGACTACGATCTCCGTCCGGATGTTAATGGCACGGTGCCCGAAACACTTAATCTTACGGCACAAACCCATTCAGGATTCTCTTTTGACCTGGGCGAGGTTTCGGATATCGGAGGGACCCTGACCTTCGCCATTTCCATGAAGGAGGCTCACAGGGCCAGCTTGAGGATGAGTCTGCCTACACAGTCTCCGGATCTGGGTGGCATCCTGGCCGAGAGGCTGATCGGTGATCCCAAGGAGGAGGTAGTGCCGCCGTCACCACATCCAGCAACCAGAGCATGCAGATTGTCGTCTGCATGCAGCTGGGTGAGCCGGGCAAGCCGGAATATCCGGACAAGTGCCGGTATGGGCAACGACAGAAGCAGGCCTCCATAGTTGTAAACCACACGGAAGCATGGGCCTGGTCCACGTTCCCTTCCCAGAGAGCGGGCGGTGGTGAGTTTACTAGTTCCTAAAGTTTACCTCATATACGGATAGGGACAGGGATGCGGACAGAGATACGGACAAATATACAAATCTTCCTGTACCCCTTTTAAACTCAATAATTAATTAATGATACCTTTCATCCCGCAGGTATGTACCATGGGTTTGTTCTGTCATGGCTCCGGAACCGCTCGGTGTCCATCATGGAGAGCGTGAAGGAGTTCATCAGGAAGCACCAGGACATGTTGACGGATATGCGACCCCCATGTGATTGTGCAGAGTCCGTACCCCGCTATGCCGCCTGCTTGAAATCTCCGGATTGCCTGGAGGCAATGAACGAAACCGAGACACTCAAGGTGAAGGAGTGCATTATGGACGACAAGTGCAGCAGCAATTTCAGGCAGATGACGCAACTTTCGTGGAGCACCACAAGGCGGCCATGGAGCAACATGTGGCGGTGGAGAACTGCAACACCTCGGTGGTTTTCTCGGTTTCTCCAGTCCCTGTGTGGCTGGTAGATGTGGCCGCTTTGGGAGGTGCTATCACTACATGTCCGGCGGATTCGTCTTCTCTACATGCGTCTGCTCGAAGGGCTATCGCGGATGGGATTGCACCGAGGATTCACAGGTTCCCACCAACATGTCCATCCTGTTGGCCACACTGCTCCTCACACTGAGCAACCTCCTCTTTTTCCCGAGCATCTACATGGCGGTCAAGAGGCGGTATTACACCGAGGGCGTCATCTACTTCTTGCCATGTTCTTCTCGATCTTCTACCACGCTTGCGACGCTGGCGAGGATGAGTACAGCTTCTGCCTGGTGAAGATCGGGGTGCTGCAGTTCTGCGACTTCTACTGCGGTTTGCTGAGCATCTGGGTCACCCTGGTGGCCATGGCCATATCCGGTCGGAGTTCGTTTCGCTGCTGCACATGTTCGGAGCCATCCTGCTGGCTTTTGGAACAGAGCTGAACAAGCAGAGCTTGTGGGTATTTTTGGCCCCAGCTCTAACGGGGATCTGCCTGATCTCACCAGCTGGGGGCTACGATGTACCAAGTCCCGCAAGTTGTTCCCCTCACGGAGGTACCTGTCCGTGTGGCTGCCCTTTGGACTGACCCTCGTGGTCGCCGGTCTGGTGTGCTATGCCTTCCTGCAGACCAAGCAAAACTACCACATCGTCCACTCCATCTGGCACATGGTCATGGCCTTGAGCATCCTGTGCCTGCTGCCCTCCAGAAAGTCCTTCCTGCCGAAGTGCTAGCACGCGGGGTACAGTTCCCACGCCAGGGAGCTCCTGCTGGCTCAGGATCAGGAGTTCCACATGTGAGACGGGTGACCTCGTGGCTGGAAACTGGTGACTCGATAGCTTTCCCTCGCTGCCCAGGGGAACAATAACGTTACAGGACCTAATCTAGTATGGTAGAATAAACCCTATTTTAGTTGTACATAATAATACTCATAGAAGTAGTTGCTAAACTAAAAGGATCTTGGAATTGATCAACTGAGCACTGAATGTTCACTAAATGGATGCACGGATAAATAGATGGATACAGTTACTTAATCGTTATGATGTTTGTTTACCTATCCTTTGCCATACAAATCTATGCACTAAGGCCTACAAACATTAACTCTCTAGAAACTATTTCAACAGCCTTATTAAATTTAATGAAAGCACGCATGGAAATGTGTATCCAATAAATTATAGTGTATATAAATACTTGTTGTTAGATAAATCGCAGACTGTAAGATTAGCTAATAAATAGGACCTAATCTAAAATATTGTCTGCACTTATGTAAAGTATTCAATTTATTGATATTCAATTGAGGCAATTGATAAACGAAATTCGATTTGTGTTTTGTGGAAAACGTTTAAAAAAATTAATGAATTTTTACTTTACAAATAAAAAAGATACAACCCTTAACTATAATACTGTGTAATAATGGAAATTGGAAATGACTCAAGTTATTATTGAAAACGTTAAAGGCATATCACCGAGTTAAAATAGTTAATAGTAACACGTCATGAGAAACTTTAAGGTTGGTCCTATACAGCCAAAATTACAACAGGGGCTGGGTAGGCATATTTGTTATATTGTCTATATTAAACTTAATAATAGATATCTTTGAATATTGCTATCGTACACTTCCCGATCCATACCGAATTTCTCGTTCGAACTGCTCGGCCTTTAAAGTGCCATCTATACTCTCACAATTTTTGTTAAAGACACTATAGGCGCTCATCTCGTTCCGTTTCTTTGGCTCCGTTCGGGTATTGAAGTAGATGCCAAAAAGTGCGGAAACATAAGGAAAACTAAGCCAAAGCTCAGCTTAATAGCAATCACATAGAGAGTGATCCAGAACAGAAGATAGACAGCCCAGAGGGTGTACTTTAGGACGTTGTTTTCCCTGTGGTGATGTTCTGTGGATGTGGAGGGGCTCTCCTCCGGCAACAGTTCATTTTCACTAGAGGTTCCAGCCTCATCTAGTGAGTTTTCCGATGCAACTTCAGCTTTACTTGGTACCTATGCGCATAAATTGGTTTAAAAATGTTAAATACAAGGAATGTTTGATTTTCTTACCTGTTGTACCTCTATCGTTGTATCTTTGTTAGCTCCGGTCCCAACATCCAGAATCTGCGCAATTTGTCCTTGAAGTTGTCAACCGTTTCCTTCCTTCTTTTTGAAGGCGATATTGTCGCAGCTGCTCTTGAAAATCAGCCATAAATCGCAATATTTTGGTTTTTGGTCAATTGTTAAACGGACGCTGGACGTGTCAACAGCCTATCGATAGGCACAAAGCGATACATCCACGTAATCTTATCGATATAAAACAGTGGACACTCGTGAATATGAAAATTAAATTTTTTAAATTTAACTACTTTAAGTAATTAGCGTTATTTCACACAAAAAGTATCAAAACAATATTTTAATGAAATTTTATTAGTTCGAACGTAAAGCTGTATCGATTTTGTTGACTTTAGTTTGGTTTAAAGATTTTTAAAGGCTGTCAGAAAATCAGCAACCTATTTCTTGCTTCAAGGTGTATTGCTTAAACATTGAGCATTTTAATTTGTTCTATTTCGGAACCTGTTTTTCTGCGACACTTGCTTTTCAGAACTATAATCTTTTGATATTAAATGTAAATTTACTTAGTGCTTAATTTTTCTCTGAAGTGAAAAGATCAGTATTAACTCCCGTGTAAAAAGGTTTTAATTTCTTAAATTCGACAATAAATTTTAACAAATCTTGTACATATATGTGACTTTAAGGTCATTACAATTTTAATCAATAGTTTTAAAGTATGTCTTGTGGGCATAACTTTAATAATACTAATTCTTCATAGATCGATCCTATTATACCGTTAAATATTTAAATTTTATATATATTCAACGAGCTCTATGAAGCAAGCCTTATGTGGATGTCAATAGGGTCGCTTCAAGGTGCAGTCCCGTACTTAAACTTCCTCACAAGTAAACATGTATGTCGACATGTGGCCCGGGATTTATGTCGGTAAGCCCCAAGTGGCATTCCGTTTTCACACTTTAATAATCATAAACATTAGAGAGTAAACAAATAAACATAATATTTTTTGTGAAAGAACTGTTGCTACTGTAAGTAAGCCACCACCTATTTGCATTCATCAACAATTATTGTCCCAAGAGTATCACTCTTTAACAAAATTAGTGTTTACCTTGGATGTTGCCTAAATGTTTTTAAATAACTTGTATAATGATAGTAAGCTGTAAATTTATTTCTTAGGCCAGATAACATTTTTTTTATGTTATATATGTCTTTTCTTTTTTTTGTCTTTACCCCCTAATGGAAATATTTAAGTAGAGGCATATTACTGTGTAGTTACTCATATTTTTATTTAGGTAATGATATATTAAAAATATTTATATGGGACTATCATACTAGAATGATATTTGCTTATATTATTGAAATATTTTCCCTAAATTTGTTACACTGTGTTATTACACGCGAATTTCTGATAGCACCTGGTGGCGAATGAAGCCAACCTTTGCATTATTTGCTCTAATGAATTGAAAAAACGGAATAAACTGACAGTTTCGGTGGGTGAGGGGGATCTTCCATTTTTAAGATTCCAGTCGTAGCAAATGAGTGATACACATTTGATAAATAAACAGATCATCTAGACCCTCAATTATCTTTATTGTTCTGTCTGATAACCCAACCTCTGGGGGCGTCCTCTATCGCCCGAATCAAATTCTGCCACTGCCACTGCCACTGCTTTTATACCCACATCAACTCCGGTATCTTCTTCAGTTTTAGTTTGTCGCAGGTTCGGGAATGCCAGAAATCTAAAAAGTAAATCCAAGAGTAAAAATGAGTTCGGAATCACGCAAGATGTTGAGGCGAAGCCAAAATCGGTGGGCGGAGATCCCAATGCTGGCCACGAATATGAGGAAGTGCTTCAAATAATCGGTAGTGCAAATGTCCTAGAAAACGTGTAATGTTATTAAAATGTGCTTTCATAATTAATATATCCAAGGATTCGGACGAGTTCAGTGGATCGTCCTATTTGCGGCAGGACTTCTGCTTATGATGGTAATTAACGAGACCATGGGCATGTCCTATATTACGATTGTTTCCCAGTGTGATTTCAACACGAATTCAATGGATAAAGCTATCATGAGTGCTGCAAGTTTTATCGGTGAGTTAGCAGTTTTTGCGTCTCCTATTTCGCATTGCATAAATTATTTTAATCAGCATGAATAAAACTTTATCTTTCACGTTTTCATGGTTGTATATTTCACGTGGCCATTAACTATTTTGCAGGCATTTTCTGCTCTTCCTACTTTTGGGGCTACCTAAGTGACACTGTTGGTCGAAGGCCGTATTGATATATACGACGATCGCCGGAAACGTGCTATCGTTATGCTCCACATTAATTCCAAGTTACTGGTTTTACGTCTTATCCGTTTTGGAGTTGGATTTTTGTAAGTCTTAAATAAACAACAAAGTAATTTAAAACTTACTCAAACACTAGGTTATCAGGGGAAGTGTTTTATTATTATTTGTAAGGGCTGTAAGTGGTTCCGAACCGGCCTTAACCCAAATTAGCCGCTTTTCCTTGATATCAAACAAAATATAATAAAAAACTTAGTTAATTATAAGAAAACTTTTCCATTAATAAAAAAATTATTATTATCAATACAGCATTGCGGGAGCATCATCAACAACCTATGCGTACCTTGGTGAATTCTTTACTCCTCGTCATAGACCCATCGCAATTAATTATGCTAGTCTTTTCGTGGGAATATCAACGGTTTATGTCCAGGTATTCTATACCCTAACTGTTTCAAGATTATTTAAAACTTAAATTCTAACCCTTAAGCTACTGCCTGGATGATCCTTTCAATGGATTGGAGTGTTAGTGTGACGGAGGACTTTTCATTCCGTCCTTGGAGATTGCTGACAATTTTCTACTTGCTGCCCGGTGTTGTGGGAACCATCATGTTGTGGTCCCTTCCGGAAAGTCCTAAGATCCTAATATCCCTACATAAAACTGAAGAGGCTTTTGCTGCCGTCGATTGGATTGCTGTAACGAATTCCGGCAAACACCTGCATGAATTCAAGTTCATAGGCTGAAAACAGAAGTTCATTCGGACGGAGAAAACATTTTACTTATTTCTAAGTCAGCGTAAGTTTATATTGCTGGTCAAATAGTCTGCTTAAAACTAAAAATGTACTTTAGGTTCACCACTATCAAGAAAATGTGGAAGGAAACCTTGCCTCTATTGAAAAGACCCATTTGGTAAACTTTGTTATTAGCTGTACCATAATGTGTGGTCTATTTTTCAGGTGAGTGATTAATATTTTTAGTTTTGCTTTTTAAATAATTAAGTTAACATTTTGTAAAAGCTCTTCGGGAATGGGCCTTTGGTATCCTGAAATACAAAATCGCTTGGTTCAAATGAAGCTGATGATTCAATGACAGTTTGCCAAGTTATTGATGCATCAATAGATCAGATGCAAGCCAATGCAACCAATAAGGTAAGTAAACTGGATAATAATGAACACTTTTGGTAGCTCATAAGTAGGCTATGTTTAATATCCAAACTAACAATATGCTGTCATCAATTTCTATGCAGATTTGCGTTGACCATATAAACACAAAGAGTTATATAGACACCATTACCTATGGATCGGCCTTAATTGTTGGCTACATACTGATGGGATTTGTTTTAAAAACAATTGGTCGCAAGGCCTCAATTTCAATTGGCTTAACGTTAGCCGGAGCTTGTGCAGTCGCATTAATATTCATTAAAGACGAAGTCGTGATTGTGGTTTGCTTCTGCTTATATCTGGTATTGCCGGGACTTTGTGTGTCGATTCTGAGTGGTGCAGTCGTTGATCTGGTACCCACTCACCTTCGCGGAAAAGCGGTCTGCATTTGCCTGATGCTGGGGCGTACGGGCAGCGTTTTTGGAAGTAATATCATCGGAATTCTTTTAGAGTCGTACTGTTCTCTCACTTTTGGAGTCTTCTCTGGATTTGTTCTTGGTGAGTATAGTCAAGTGTTTAATGTGCTTTCGAT